TTTTGAGGTCTATGCTGTCCTAAGAAATTTCCCATGATTATTTTCTTCCTCTTTAATTACTGTTCAGTCTCTGTCCCGCCTTTTACCGTCACACTTCTTAAGAGAGCATTCTCTCTCTGTTTTTACTCAGCCAGTCAACTGATTCTGGCCTGGCTCTGGCTTCCTGACTCTACTCAAACTGTTCTTGCCAACGAAAGAGTTAGCAAAACCAAATGGCTGTGCTTTTAGTCTTCTTCCTACTTGATGCGTCTGTAGCATTTTACTCTGTTGTTGTTAGTTGCCTTCAAGTCGGCTCTGACTCATGGCGACCCTAAGTATAACAGAACAAAATGTTGCCTGGTCCTGTGCCATCTTCATGATCATTGGTAACTGGACAATGTTCTGTTGTAATCCAGAGTTTTTATTGGCTAGTGTTTGGAGGTAGATCACCAGGCCTTTCTTCCTAGTCTGTCTTAGTCTAGAAGCTCCGCTGAAACCTGTCCACCAAGGGCGACCCTGCTGGTATTTGAAATACTGGTGACATAGCTTCCAACATCACAGCAATAAGAAAGCCACCACGGTAGGACAAACTGACAGATGGGCCACTCTCTGATTCTGGAAACTCACTTTTCTTGCCTAGTGCCCAATGTTCCATCTCTTTCGTTTTTCCTCCTTATATCTCTGGCCATTCTTTCACAATCCCCCATACGAGTCCTTTCTCTTTGCCCACCCTGAAATGCTACTGTTTTCTAGGGCCTTATGATATCTGGTTATAGGCACTCTTTATGAGTGTTTGTACCACTTTCTAAGTTTCAACAACCATGTATGTTTTGTTGACCCCAAATCTTCATTTCTTGAGAACTAGAATGGCAGCTCCAAATGTGGACTGGATTCTTGCTTCCTGCCATTGCATCAGCAGAGGCATTTACTGGTCTGGATGGTTTCCACCACCAGTGTCTCCCCACCCCAGATGTTGCTAGGAGAGGTGAAGCAGTCACCCACATGGGCACTCTCCTCTTTTCTTACACCGCACGCTCTTTCAAAAACAAATCTAAATTAAAATCTAGAGTTTGCTTATTATTTAAAGCCAAATGGCATGACAACTTAATTCAAACCAAATAATTTAAATATTTACTTTGCTTTAAGCTCATAAAGTGTCAATCATTAAAAGATATTTGCACTTACGGAATACAGCTATAATGTAAACAATATTTTATTGTTATAGAGGTTAGGGAAATACAAAAAGTACTTTTTTAATGGATAAAAAAAGACATTATAGTTCTTCTTGATTTTTAAAATAGTCTTCTTCGTGCCATCATTGTACCTCTTACGTACTTCTATTATAGTACTTATCACAGATAATGCAACTTTTTTTTTTAATGGGTAAAATAGAGATGATAAGAATACCATCTCATAGGGTTGCTGAGAGGATTAAATGAGCTGTTGTATGTAATAGAATAGCTCCTAGCTCAGAGTCAGTGGTATTTATGTATTTGCTGCTATTACTGTTATTACTGTTATTTGTTACTCCCCCTTGCCTTTGGACTCCTTAAAGTGCACAGAGAAAATGCTTTTTATTATTTTATGTGTAGTACCAAGTTTTAGTCCTCACTATATAATAATGGCTCAGCAGTTGTTCGAATGCATTTTGAAGTGTCCTCAAAAAATGTTTCTGCATGTTGTTTTAGAAAACACATTTGTAGATAAAGGGAATCAGTCCTGTAACTGTCAACCTCAAGGACATCCTTCCTTTCTTACTGTCAGTTCATTACAGTGGTTAAACGGCTAAATATTTTTCACGATTTGGACTGAAAAATATATTTGTGACTATTACAACAGAGCCATGCTCTCTCTGGCACAGATGTACTTCTTAGAAGTTGTAAAAATCCATGCTTTTAAATAAAATTACATTTTAAATGCACTAGGAGAGTTAGCTATTCAAAAGAAATCTGGTGAATCTTTTGTAGACTGAAGAATCCTATAGAAAAGAGAATGAAAGCACCCAAATTTATCGGTTTCAGAAATTCAGATAGTCATTTTGGGATTTTCTTACAGTAAAGTTTTTTCCACACAATAATAAACCCAAAACTAAACCCACTGTCGTCGATTCTGACTCATAGCAACCCTGTAGGACAGAGCCCCATAGTGTTTCCAAGGCTATAAATCTTTATGGAAGCAGACTGCCACATCTTTCTCCCGAGGAGCAGCTGGTGGGTTCAAATCGCCCACCTTTCGGTTAGCAGCTGAATGCTTAACCACCATGCCACCAGTGTTCCTCTACATAATAATAGGTATGTAGTCATTGGCTTTTGACTGGAAGAGGTTAAATCGTGCCTCATCTTTGCTTAGGTGTTACAGAACGTGGTAGGATTGAAAAGTACCTCAAGTTCCTGTCTGATCTGGATTTCTTTGAAGCCTTTGTGTGTGTGTCTGTGTGTCTGTGTGTCTGTGTGTGTATGTGCACGTGTGTGTGTCTAATTAGAAAAACCAATTTGTGTGATCTTAAATATTTTATTATTAAAAAATATTGCCATTTGTATAATTCACCATGAAAGAAGGCACAGATATTAATTTTGGGGGCTTACCAAAGTAAGCTTATATTAGGTCAGTTAAAAGCTACAAGTTTACTGTTATTATTTTTTTCCAGATTTAGAGTCAAGACCTAAATCTCTTTGTTTACTCCATCAGCCTCATTCAAGCTGCTGAATATAGCCCAGTATTGTCTAATGTTTATCTTTTTCAGTAGGCAGATTTGCAAACATATTCTTTTGATCTGTGCGTGAATGTATCTTAGTCCATTGCCTATCTCCATATGCTTGATTATAAAAGATTGCTATTTAACCAAATGGATGTCTATAATCCAAACAGACATAGCAAAATATAGTTATCTAGACCTACTTATTGGCCAAGGACACAGAAATAGTGAACATAGAAACTTGGTTTCTTTTACTACACATTAAGAACTGGTTTTAGCCTTTTGATCAGAAGAGCATATCTTTGTTCTTGAGTTTTAAAATCAAAGAATTTATTAATGTTTTATGTTTAATAATTACTTGTGAGAGTAATTAATTAATTGTGGATCATTGATTTGAGACTGCTCTATTTAAAAAAGAAAATGTTTAATTTCCATAAAGAATTGTGTATAAAATTTTTTATTCCAATTATTATAAACTGATAGCTCCACTTGAGATTTAATTTGACATGTGTACTCATAATACTCATAGTGTCTCTAAGAATTTCTTAGGGAAATTTTATGTTTATAACAACTAGATTAATGCAACTCAGACATTTACAAGATGTCATGTAAAGTTTCATCTATAACTGTATAACTGGAAAGAAACTTCTGCATTTTAAAATTTGTACAGTCAGGTTTTGACTTTCATGGAAATGATAATGGGTAATAGAAGTAAAGTAGAGGTGCCAGATTTCCTTTAAGGCATTGCCCTAATTTATTTATCAAATATTTATCAAGCTGTTACAGTAGAGCACAAACTCTGCTTTTTGCTGTGTAGTGGAGGAGAAAGTCTTATGCGAGTAGCTGTAGCCCAGTGAAGAGGACCGTGTTCCTTCCCTGCCGATGGAGATATCTGTGAAGTGCTGTGAGAACCTTGAGGATGCAGACTTGGAGGGTTGCAGCTGTGCTTGGCGGTGGGAGGGTGTTGCTAAAGAAGGTCTAAATGAGGAGGTGATGCATGCGTTTTGTGATGCGTTACACAAATGGCCCCCAATTACATGAGAAGTCATGTATAACCTTAACCCTGCCCCAGTGTTCAGGGGTTCTGAGCATACGCGGAAGGGAAGAAAAGTGGAGATGGGAGGGTTCTTGGTCTGCACGTTGGTCTACACGTCTTTTCTGAGGATCCCTTCAAGTGTGTAGACCAGAGGCTGACAGCTGGGGCTCAAAGTCAGCCCACAGATATGTTTTATTTGGCTTCATAGCATTTGAAAACTTAAGATAGTCATCAGCATTTCAAAAATAGGAAGATTTCACGTGAAAAGCCAGCTGGAAGGCTGAGTCAACTTTCCTGCAGGGTTACTAACTAGGTAGCGCTGAGGAGCAGCTGCTCTTACACATACCAACTGCCTGGCCTCTGCAGGTTTGCAAACCCCTTCAGTAGTCCTTGGTTGACTCTACAGGCAGTCCCCAGTTACGAATGGGATCGTTGCTAAGTGTGTCTTTAAGTGGAATTTGTAGGTAAGTCAGAACAGGTGCCTACAGTTCTTATTTAGCCTTACTTTAGTGCAAGGAAAGGCTTGAACCCTTTTCAATGATGTAAAAGCTGCAAGTGCAGCAAATGAAGGTGATATGATGAAGAATGTGTTGCAAGTAGGGGCTGGTTCAGTTGTTTCAAAGTGGGGGCAAATTTACGTAACATTAAAGGATGAGTACGAGTAGTCCCTAAGTCGAGTTGTCCATAAGTTGGACGGTTGTAACCTGGGGCCTAACTGTAGTTGTGTTCTAGTTGAGGGTTAATGAGCTCTATTCTCACCCCCATTTCCTTCCTTTTCCCTGTCTAAAAATCAGCATTGACAGCAGACATCAACCCTTGAAAACTGAAAAAATTTGGTGGCCATAGTTCATTATGGCCTTCATAGTTGTATATTTTTCGGTGCTTAACATATGTTTATCATGTTCATGGAAAGTGCTTATATATCTCCTGTTTTCTCTTACCCCCTTTATTTACTGTAGGGGCAAAAATGTTGGTTTTCATTTCATTTCATTGCAGAGTGGCCAAGAGACAAAATTATCTTAAGCAAAGATACCTCCACTTTAAATAAAATTCTCTAAACTTCTATGTAGTCTAGATAAAATTTTCTTGCAGTGAATTGAATTCATAAATAGGATTTTGAGAATCGATGTGTTTTTATTTTAAGCTATTTTACTTTATCTTAATGTATGTCTAGTTAGTCTAGTACTAATAGAGTGAAAAGTGGTTTTATTTGTAACTTTCCTAAATTGTTTCCTTAATTGTATAAAAATTATAAAATATTTTTTTTCTTTTCTCACAAAATTCTGCCAGCGAGTTGAAAATGGTGACTTCAACTGGATTGTTCCAGGAAAATTTTTAGCATTTAGTGGACCACATCCAAAAAGCAAAATTGAAAATGGTAGGTTTTTCTTTATTTTACCATCCAAAAATTTATTTTGGTTCATCTTTTTTAATATTCTTAATTTCCTCAGATAATCCTTTCCTTTTGTAATATTCCTCAAAGAATATCTGTTTATAATTAAAAAAAAAAAAAGAACAGTAGTAATTAGTGTGTTAAATATTACAGTTCCAGTAGGTGGAGGTATAATCACTGTTGTAAAGCTTGAAAATTTTCAGGTTGTCATAATTAGGATGACCTCTTTGTCAGACGCAATTATCAGAGAAGAATTTGAGAACTAAGCTAATCAAACCAATAAGCAGGTTGCTGTATTCTGTTAGTGTTTCTCAGATTTTTTTGGCAACAGAGTGCTACATATCAAGATATTCTTTGGGGAACACCATGTTGAATAATAATATTGTTGATTATAGGTGTCATTTATTGAATACATGCTAGTTACTAATCACAGCATTATCTCATTTAATGCCCACGCAGCTCTATGAGGTATAGGTACTATTATCTCTATTTTACTTTGGAGGAAATCGAGGCTTATTAGAAATTAGGGAATTTGCCCAAAGATTCATAGTAATAGGCAGAACTGGTGGGCTCCTAAAATATTGCCCTGTGCTGATCTATTAATTCCATCACAACAACTAGAAACAATTTTCTAGCTGATAGTAATTATATTACTTATTTATGGTATATATTTAGCCATAGGCATACATATTCAGGAAAAAAATAATAAAAGCAAAACAAAATATAACCCTCTTGAATGAAATATGGTCAGTTATGTGAGTTTTCCCATTGGTATTTATTTTCTACTTCTTCATTTTTTTTTTTTTTTCATTTGCTAACATTCCCTAAACCCATTGCTGTCGAGTTGATTCTGACTTATAGCAACCCCATAGGACAGAGTAGAGCTGCCCCATAGGGTTTCCAAGGCTGTAATCTTTATGAAAGCAGACTGCCGCATCTTTCTCCCCCAGAGGGGTTGGTGGGTTTGAACTGCCAACTTTTGGTTAGCAGCCGAGCGCTTAACCACTGTGCCACCTGGGCCAGAAGACAAGTAATGATGGACATCAAAGATTTAAGAATAGTTTATGGAAGAAGTACATCAAATTGGAAAAATATGACTCATGTACATAATACCTCATGTTTTGTCCTTGAGGTCCAACACCAATCCTTAGAGTGAACATAGTTTGAAACCCCTGGACTCCATTTATTCTTTCATCATCATCATCATCATCAGTTATTTCTTCTAAAACTTAGTTTCATTATATATTGTTGTTCATAAATTTAGATTTAATAATTTGCTTGACTTTCCCAAAGCATGCTTACAGTTTTATACCTGTGACATTTCTAGTAAGAACTCTGCATGGATCGTGGTTTTCCACTGTAGACGAGTTAGCCAGGTCTACAGATTTTAGCCAACAAATGGGAGACCTTTATGTGAAGCCAGAATTCAATCTTCTCATTCTTGAATTTGCTAATGAATCGTTTTTGCTCTGGACATTGATTAATTAACCTCTGTTATGTTGGATTGTTAGGAATAAGATACTGAATACCTGAGTAAACTACTTTCTGACAGTTGGTCTCTCAAGACAGGATTTAATAAACCTACCTTTTTCACAAAATTGTCTGACTCAGGCACAGAAAATCTTAGGTGTATTGTTTAAATAGTGACTTTGTTGCTGGATGTACGTGCGGCAAAGCAGAGGGAATTTTGCCATTTGGGATTCATGTGTTTTACAAAAGTTTCTTAAAGAGTAGATGAGAGAAGTAATTTTAAAAATCATTTAAAATATGTAATATGTAATACATGCTTATTTTTAAAAAAGAAGAAAATGCAGATGAGCTAATAAAAAGAACATAAAAATGACCTATAATTCTACCCAAGTTTACTAGTGGTGGGATTATTGGTGATTCTAATTTTCCTCTGTCTGCTTTTCTGTATTTTTTAGCTATAGACATTTTTTCTCTATATATGCATGCATGTGTATACACACACACTTATATATTCTTTTTTACAAAAATGGGATCATGACATAATTACTGTCTTATAGCCAGCTTTTTTTCACTCAGCGTATCACAGACTGCTTTTCATGGCAGTAGATATAGACCCTATGTTACCATTTTCTGTGACTGCATTGTATATTATTCTATTGTATGACTATGCCATGATTTAATGTATTTTTAAATGAAACCTAACTTGTTTACAGTTTTTCACTTTTTAAAAATTGCTATGGTTGGCATATGCATTCATAAATCTTTTGTAGCTCTAGTTTCTTCTTTAAGATAAATTCTTAGAAGTAGAGCACCAGGTAAAAGGATATGCATAGCTTGTGTGATAATTCTTAATTGTAAAAGTCTTTTAAAACAATTTTTTTTGGACCCACTTTGAAATATGGGGAAATAATTATAGCCACCATTTACTTATATGCCAGGAATGGTGCTAAGCTTCTTGTACACACATCGTCTGTTACAGAACCATCCTCTAGAGTAGGTGGTGGTGATTTTATAGAAGAGAAGATGGACACTTAGAGGAATTACTTAATTTTTGCGGATTCACATAGCCAGTAAGTGGGAGAATATGGATTCAAAAACACAGGTAGATTCCAAAGTCTATGTTTTGTTTTGCTTTTTTAATTTTTATTTTCTTAACCAAAGAAGTACCTATTAATGTAAAAAATTTTAGCAATACAAAGACTAAAAATCACCTGTAATTATACAATCAAGAAATAGCCACTTTCTTATGTGAAAAGTGGCACCGAATGTGAGTATAGTGAGCGCAGCATGACCAGAGTAAATGATGTCACTGAGAAGTGCTCAAGAGAAAATGATGCCTGTACTAAAGAATTTGACACATGTAAGAGGGCAACAACTCCAACAAAGACCAGAAAATGAGTATATGATCACATAGGGATGGGTATAGGCATATAGGTATATGGGTAGGTACAGATGTATATATATGTGAGAACAGATAGAAGTATCTATATGTATGTGTAAATACAGGTATGTGTGTGCAGGCACATATACTCATTGAAGACATAACTACAGATACTCCTCAGACATAACTAAACACCTTCCGAGACTGGTTTTCTAGGTTTGAGACCTTAGGACCGTATAGTCTCATGGTACAACTCAGTCAATTGGCATAATATAGTTCACAAAGTTTATGTTCTGCATCCTAGTGAAGTGAGTGGTGTCTAGGGTATTAAAAGCTTGCCAGTGGCCATCTAAGATACAGCTATTGGTCTCTACTCGTCAGGAGCAAAAGAATAAGAAGGTAACCAAAATCTCAGAGAAGAAACAAGTCTACAAGGCTAATCACCTACATGAGCCAGGATCTCATCTACCCTGAGACCAGAAGAACTAGATGGTGCCCAGCTACCGCAGCTGACCATTCTGACCGGGATCACAATAGATGGTCCCAGATGGAATGGGAGAACAATGTAGAACAAAACTCAATTTCTTAAAAAAGGCCGGACTAACTGGACCAGTTTAGACCAGAGGACTCCCTGAGACTATCGCCCTGAAGCACTCTTTAAACCTTGAACTTAGCCTATCCCCTGAGATTACCTTTTATTACCTTTTATTGAAATAGCAGATTGGCACACAAAATAAAGGATATTACACATAACAGTGCTCTACTAAAAACTATCTATATGAGACCAAAAAGTCAACATTTACTCTAGAGCAAAGATGAGAAGATAAGGGGCAGGGAAACTAGAGTACTGGAAATAGAACAACCAGAACACAATTAAAGAGAATGTTGACACATTGTGAAAAATGTAACTAATGTCACTGGACAATTTGTGTGGAAATCATCAGTCATAAACCTAACTTGCTGTGTAAATGTTCACCAAAAACACAATAAAATATTGTTTAAAAAAAAAAAAGAACCCCTTTTAAGATTCTGGCCTATATACCTTTATCTTTTTTCCTGTGCAAATATTGTGCCCGCTCACATTGATGAAAAAAGGTCTGAAAAGTGCCATTTACCTAATTTTTGCCTGGCCTTTATGATGTAACAGTTTCATCTAAGGCTGACATTGATAAAATGTTGATAAATCCCCATTTTAAGATCTGATTCCCACTAGAAGTTCCATCATATTTTTTTGTATAAGGCTGTAACTGTAAACTTTTCTTTTTTAAATTCAATTTGTATCTTTTAATTGCTCTTAAAAATACTGTCCCACGTATAGTACCACTTGTTCTATATGAAAGTGTGTATTCCACCGCAGGATGAAAATCATTGGTATAATCAACTAAAAATGGTTTTTGTATTTTCTAGTAATCTATCCCATTGTTTTCATGTTGGTGACTTTTATTTTGAAAAGTTTCAGCATCGTTTTGTGACTTACAGAAATAGATTCATGCTATCTTCATGCTAAGTTCCTTTCAAGAAATTTTGTGCCGCTTATCTTCTCTTGTTTGGGATGAAGTTCCTTCCTAGCTTTGACAGGAAGCTGCCCTTGGTTGTTGTTTTTTTTTTTTTTAATTGTGCTTTAGGTGAAAGTTTACAGCTCAAGTTAGTTTCTCATACAAAAATTTATACACACATCATTAAGTGACCCTAGTTGCTCTCCCTATAATGTAACAGCACGTTCCTTTCCACCCCGGATTTCCTGTGTCCATTCAACCGGCTCCTGACCCTATCTCACTCTGGATAGGAGCTGCCCATTTAGTCTCGTGTATCTACTTGAGCTAAGAAACACTCTCTTCGGTATCATTTTATGTCTTATAGTCCAGTCTATTCTTTGTCTGAAGAGTTGGCTTCAGGAATAGTTTTAGTTCTGGTTAACAGAGAGTCTGGGGGCCGTGTCTTCTGGGGTTTCTCAAGTCTCAGACCATTAAGTTGGGTCTTTTTACTAGAATTTGAGTTCTGCACCCACTTTTCTCTTGCTCCATCAAGGACTCTCTGTTGTGTTCCCTGTCACGCCCTTGGTTGTTGGGGTTTCTCAGCGTCCCTCTCCCTCAGTCCTACAGGTGATGGGCTTAGTTAGCTTCTGCTCGCTTTG